GAATGGGGGGGGGGCGGAAGGCATGGAGGGCAACCATGGATGCCAGGGACAATGGAGGAGGAAGTTGGGACATAGCAGAGGGTGGGGGATGGGGAATCAGGGATGGCAAGACAAAGGGCAAGGTATGCAGGATGTAAGAATTGGAAAATTATTTGCTGAGAACATGTATGTTGATGTGCTTGATTGAACCAATGCACAGTGTATTTTGGATGGAAAATTCATTTGTGTGTTGTGATGGTGTATAGTGAATTAATTAAAAAAAAAGGAAACAAACAAAACAAAAATAAAATAGCTTATGTATAAATGCACTTATTTTTAAATTTATCATATTGAAATAGCATTGATTGATAAAAACGCTGGAAAGTTCATTATGATATTTGAGTAAATCAGGCTTTGGGGGTTCACTTTTTATATTACACAACTGAAAATATTTTAATGTGATTTTATAATTTCCTCCAGGCATCCTCTGTTGGTTTATTTGTTCATGTTAGAAAGTTCATTTGAAATAAATACAGTTGCTAGAGCATATGCTAAAAAAAAAAAGAAAATGTATAGTAATAAATGTGTATATTAAGAAAGAAGAGGTTTCTAACCAACAATCTAACCTTCACATGAACCCCCTCATTAACTTCCTCCATAGACAATGAAAAAGAAGAGCAAATAAAAACTAAAGCACCAGAAGGAAGGCAATAATGAAATTATTGCAAATGTAAACACAATAGAGAAAAATGAAACAAAAGAAAAAGCATCAATTAAACCAGAAGCTGTTTTTTTGCAAAGATCATAGAGGGGACTACTAACCGTACAGATGTAAGATGAATTATAAAGAAATGCTATCATTAATTTTATGTCAATAAATTAGAAAACTAAGATAAAATCAGCAAGTTCTTAGCAACATAAACTGGTGACATTGTTTCAAGAAGAAACATATCATCTGAATAGATCTATAACAAGTGTGATTGAGTAATAAAAAAACTACTTACAGTGGAAATCTGGGCCTAGATTCTGCTAAATTCTACCAAACATTTAAAGAGTACTAATTCTTCATACACAAACTCTTCCAAAAGTTAGAGGAGAGGACACTTCTTGACTCATTGTATAAAGTCCTATTACCATGATATCAAAAGCAAAAATATCACAAAAAAAATTCCAGGCCAGTATTTCTTATACACTTGAGCATAAAAATTCTCATAAGAAACCTCATATACTCTGGGACTGTAAAATGATGAGGCCACTTTGAAAAACTATCTGGTGGGCCAACTGGTGGCATGATGGTAGAGGCTGCTGGACCCCATATAGCTGACTGAGTAGTTTGGTTTAAGTCCCAGACCAGGTGGCTTAAAGAAACACGCTGGGCTCATGTGCCTACATGCCAAAAATCCCAAGAGAATTGAGGAGAAAGGACTGCGGTGCCATCAACCCCCTGGGGGGGGAGGTGACTTCTCACTTTCCCTTCTCTCTTTTGCTTACCTCTCTTAGGCGAGAGCATGTACTTTTATACCAAACCAAACCAAACCAAACCAAACAGAAACTATCTGGCAGTCCTAAAATGATTAAACAGAGAGTTATATGTAACCCAGCAATTCTACTAGCTATGTATCCAAGAATAATAAAAATATATGTTTGCATAAAATATGTATACAAGTATTCATAACAACATTATCCATAGGAGCAAAACTATAAAACCAACTCAGATACTCACTAACAGATGGATGAATAAATAGAACATGACATTTCTATATGATATGGTGGAAATATTACTTGACCATAAAACAGAATGAAGTGCTGATACATGCTACAACATGAATAAGCCTTGAAAACATTAGCTCAATGAAAGACGCCCTTTACCGAAGACCACACAGTATATGCTTTCATTTGTATGAAAAGTTCTGAATATGAAAACCTACACAGGCAGAGAGTGTATTAGTGGTTATATACTGCAAGGCAGTTTCTCTTTGGGGTAATGAAAATGTCCTAGAATTAGATAACTCTGAATATATTAAACATCATTGAACTGTATACTTTAAATGGGTGAAATGTGTGGTGTGTGAACCGTATCTCAATCAACTCTTAGTAAAGGGAAAAAAAGTATAACTGCCCTAGTCTCTACCTATGATGTCTGCTTTAAGCATTTTTCCTGGGGCCAGTGGATGGCATAATGGTTACGACACTAGACTCTCATGTAGCTCACAGTTCAAGTTCCAGACCCAGCAGCTAAAACTCATACCAGGTGTTTGTGTGGGCACATTCCCAAAATCCTGAGAGGCGAGTGGAGGAGAAGGGATTGTGGTTTGGTCATTCCCCCAGGGGTTAATCTCTCGCTTTTTGTCTCTCCAGTGATTATACATGCCCTACAGCAAAAATCTCTCTCTAAAAAAAAATTTTTTTTCCCTAAGAGGGCAGGTACAAAAGGAGACCACATTCAATCCACTCTATCAATGTCATTTCATAGTCTCTCAGTCACCAAACTGATACCACCTTTTAACTTAGCCTTATTCTCCCATCAAATATCCTGGTCATGCACCACATTTCTCAGTTACGAATGTCCCACATTTCTCAATTACTAATCAAAATAAAAATAACCAAAAAAAAATGAAAGAAGAAAAAAGTGCTATGAATATAATTCTTCCCCCTACTATTGGCTCAAAATTGTTCCTATTTGCTAACCTATAAGGTATTAAAGGCTTTAAGGTATTAAAAGTTTTAACAGAAAAGGTATTAAAGGCTTTAAGGTATTAAAAGTTAAGAATGCTTTTATTTTTGTCTTGCTTCCATCTTCTGTCACCTGAAAATATCATTTCTACCAACGTATTCGCCAGAACAGAACTAAAAAATTTCAACTGTACAAAAACATTGTAATACCTTTAAGACTTTATAATACTGTTTCTTTAGTCCTTCTTTTTCTCTCATGTTTCCCACAATGCTACTTCTGCAGGTCTTACCTCTGTGTTTTCAGTCGTCTCAGCTTCTGTTACAAGGTCTGCTAAAGCATAGACAAACCCAAGATCCAATCTCAAATCCATTTCTTGAATCAACACTTTGAAATACCTACATTACAAAGTGAAAACATGGAAAACTTATCAACTAATATGTTAAGATTAGGCAAGAAAGAAAAGTATCAGATTAATATTAGAACTTTGAACTTAGCATTTCATAGATAAATTTTCAAAAAATTGGGGCAATTGCTTAATAGCAACAAACTCAAAATATAAAAATGGCCACAGAGAGGAAATGGATTAGTTAATTATGGTATACAGTCTTCCAAGAGAGTATTATACATCAGTAATAATGAATAAACTACAGCCACATACAACAAAATTAATAAATTTTAGTAAAAATTTTAATAAAAATAGAAAGTCTCTCAAGAGTCTATAGCTTGAAACAATCTAATTAGAAAAAAAATACTAAAAGTACATTTACAATAAAATCATATTTTGAAAGACCTGGGAATAAAGCTAGCTTATCTCAGTGATGAGATGACTAGACGAGATAGAAGAGCACCACACAGATGAATGTTTCTGCCCATGTCCTATTTTTGGAATGGGCAGTGAGTGTGTAAGAAAGTATTATTTTTCTCCCTTGTTTCTTAAAAAAATATGGTCATTACATACAACTTATAAGAGAAAATAAATAAGTAAAAATAAATAAAATACCTCTAATCTAGAAAGGAAAAAAACAAACAAATAAAAACTACCGCTAATATAATAGAGGAATTTCATCCAGAGATTTGGGCTGTCCAAGATTATACAATAATTAATACATTTTTTTCTTTGACCTTTACTCTTTACTATCTTATGAGGAAATCTTTGAGTCATCTGAAATTCATTTATAAAGTGTAGAAATTAGTCGTATATTGAAACAAACATTAAATGGACACACAAGAAACAGTATTAAGACGCTCACTTAATACGTGATATCTGGGAATGTCCTGCAGATCTCATGACAATGCTGACATCTGTGAAGGGCTTTGGTGCTGTAAGGCGATAAACATGATTACTCTGATGACGCTTCAAGCAGAGGCAAGCATTCTGTACAATTTCACATCCACCACAAGGGAAAATGAAGTCATTTACTAAACCATAAGTATCAATTAAAATTACTAATATTTGCAAGATCCATTACAATTTCAGACTGCAGGATTTTTTTTTTTTTTAAACAATCTGCAATCACTCAAGGATACCCTATCACATAAATTAGTGATTTTTAAACTAGAAGCATGCATTAGAATCATTGGGAAAACTTCATGGAAACAGATCTGGTGACTTGTACCAGACCTCTGGGTGGAGGGCCTTGAGCATGTACTGCTCAGAAAGCTTCCAGGCAGATTATGAAGAGTAAGCCCCCTAGACAGTATAGAGGCAGTGCTGCAGCTGGTGCGACAGGGGTGGGAGTTGTGGAAAGGAAGTGAGGAAGGATATTGGGCAGGGAAGAAAAGGAGGGAAAAGAGGGATAGGCAAAAAATAATAATAATAAAGTAAAAAGGAAGGAAAGGGTAGAAAGAAAGATTTATCAATTATCCTCACTGAAGAACACAGGACAGTTTCTACTGTTAGGAAACACTCTGAATTTAAACTTCCTTATTGTTTATTCAAAGGCCCTAATTATTTTTTGAGCAGGGAATTACAGATCAATCATCTGTTTTTAAAATTAATATTCCTAAAAATTGAAATAAATATTTCAAATTAATCACTTCTTAATCATTCAAAGTTTTGCTGTAGTTGAGTACTTGCTGGTCCTTTTCTAAGCAATTTAATTTTCTAATCATCCTACAGAAATTAAAATTCAGAATGACTTCATTTTATATTTTTAAACTAAAATAAACAAATAGCTAATACAACTGCTTTTATGGCAATCTAGAAATAAAAAACAAACCTGAATCCATGGTGACTGACTTTGGAGGCTTAACCGGATAAAACACAAATGGAAATATAGCACCATGTATCTGGTTCTGGATCTAAGGAAAAAAAAAAAAAAGGCCAGTATATTAGTTTGTCTATTATACAACTCAACCAGAATAACAGGATTGAAGAAGTAGAAGGAATCAGAACTAGTCCAACGCTGAAATGGAAGTCCTATCTGAAACAGCCCATGGGAATACATCTGGTTTCCTACTGTGTTCCCTTGGAATACAACGTGGCCCGCATTTTCAGAATGACTTACCTGTATTCTGTAAATCTGTATTCTAAATGATGACTGATGTGCAGAGGTGCTATATTCCACTTTTAATGCTGGAAGATAATTTCTTCGTATAGCTACTACGTGTGGTTGCAGAATTTTCATGTTATTACCACTAGGTGTTAAGCGAACCTGAAAAATACAGTACAGAATTTTTCCTGTTTCCCTAATTGATTAAAATTAGAAAATTATACCAAGACTTTTAAGATAACAATAATTAAGATAGTAGACTAAATATCCAATGAGGTTTAGATTCTGATCTTTATACCTCATCCATAAAGTTGACAAATATTCATATAATCCTTATAGATTTGTACTTCTTACATAATTTTACTATAAAAATGAAGAGATAAAAGAGCAAATAAAAATAATTAAATGCATTTTTTTTGTTTCTTGTTCACCTAAAAAAAGAGATCATTAGCTTCCAACATTTTTTTTTTTAGATTATTTTTTGCAATGGGGCATGTGTGCTCACTGAAAACAAATGGAGAGAGGGGAAAAGTGAAAAATCCCTCCCTGGGGGGGGATGGCCACAAAAAATGAAATAAAAGTGCAAATAAAAATAATTAAATGCATTTTTTGGTTTCTTGTTCACCCAAAAAAAGAGATCATTAGCTTCCAACAATTATTTTTTAGATTATTTTTTGCAATGGGACATGTGTGCTCACTGAAAACAAATGGAGAGAGGGGAAAAGTGAAAAATCCCTCCCTGGGGGGGGATGGCCACACCACAATCCTTTGTCCTCCATTCTCCTCTCGGGAGTTTGGGCACACACGTACAGGTGCCCTGCATGTTTTTCAAGTCGCTGGGTCTGGGACTCAAACCACAGAGTCAACCATGTAGGATCTAGCCCTTTAACTGCCTCAACACCTGCTGGCCCTAGCTTCCAGCATATTAAGAGAAGGTTTGATTTTTTAATACACATAACTACTCCTTTAAAATAGTTCATATAAAGTATGCATGACAGGATTGATAAATTCTTCAATTTATTTTTTTAAGGAAGTCAAATTTTCCATAAGATTCATTAGTGGGGACCAGCAGTTGGCATAATGGCTATGTTGCTGAACTCCCCTGTAGTCAACCGTGGTTTGAGTCCAGGACCTGGTGGCTTAAAACTCATGCCGGGCACATGTGCGTGAGTGCCCAAGGTCCCAAGAGGAGAATGGAGAAGGTATTATGGTGTGGCCATTTTCCCCAGGGGGTGATTTCTTGCTTTCTGTCTCTCTGTCTTTCTGGAGAGTTTATGCGCCCTATAGCAAAAACCTCCCTGCACAAAAAAGATTCATTAGTGATTTGTCCAAATATAACAGATAAAATTATAGCTTCACATCAGTACTTAAAGATATTACCGGAATGTTGGTGTCCAATTCAATAACCTTATCTTCTGAAGGTGAGGATTCAGTATATTCCTTAAATTCTTTTTCTAACTTCTCAGTGTGCTTTACACTCATTGTCTTCCATCTTGCCTTCTTCTTGAGCTTTGTCTCCCAAACCACATCAGAGCTTACACAGAAAAGAAAAAAAAATCATAGTATGAATTTATAAACATTTTCAATTTAACCGGTTTATTACATGAATTACAAAATCTACAGTAAGTTCGCAATCACCTCTGTTATAATCAAGCATTATATAAGCTTAAAAATATGAATTCATTCAACTTATACTTATTAAACTCCTATTTGGTATATTCTAGGTGGCAAAAATTTATCAGTGAGTATCACCAGCATTCTGGAACTTCATTTTATTAACAGCTGGGGAGTGACAGACAATAAATAGTAAACATGACAATAAAACATTTTTAATACATAGGATATAAAAATGCTTTTGAAAGAAGAAAAAAAAAGTAAGGTGGAGCTGGAAAACTGAGATATGCAAATTAGTGACAGCTGCAGTATTAAAACAGTGGTAAACAAGGGCCTTGCCAAAAAGGCAAGATTTCAGCAACCTTACAGGAGTTGAGGGAGCTATCCAGCAGACAACAGAACATTCAGTAGAAGGACCAGCTGTAACAGTGACCACAGAGCAGGAGCACATCTGCAGGGTCTAAGAGTAAGGAAGCTGGCATGGTAGGGACACATTAAGAACAGAAGATAAAGTAAGACAGACAGTGAGGACACAAATAATGAAAGGCTTTGTAAGAAACTGTAAAGGTTCCGAGTTTTATTCTAAGTGGGATGAAGAATGCTTGAAAGAATTTTAAGAAGAACAGCAAGATGATCTGACTTATACTTTGGTAAGAATATGTTGTGTGTAGGGGGTAGGGGGATGGGGACAAGTAAGGGCGTGAAGGCTAGAAGAAAAACGTAGGAGTTAATGTAGTAAGCCAGCAGAGACACGCTGGTGGGTCTAACTAGGGTGGTAACAGTGAGGTAATCAAATGGGCCAGAGTCTGTGTATTTTCAAGGTAGGACCAGCACAGAACTTCCAGAGGAAATAAATGCGGAGTGGGAGATAATGAGAGGAATCAGAGATGATCCCAGTGTTTCTGGTCTGAGTAACTAGAAGAAGTTAGTTGTGATTAACTCTACTGGGGTAGCTGGTTTGGGAAGAAGGAGAAAATCAAGAGGTTAGTGTTAACACAGACGTTACAACGTCTCTTAGATATCTGAGCGGAGATTCTGTACAGGCCGTTGGATATACAAGTCTGGAGTTTAGAGGACATATCTAGCTAATAATATGAAGAGAGAAAATTTTGGCACTAAATAGTATCTGAAATGATAACACTGAAATAGATAAAAGAGGCAGACCAAGTTCTAAGAACCTCAATGCACGCAATTGAAGCAGTTGAGAGAAGACGTGGAACCAATGAATGAGACTGAGAATGCTGAGATATGAAGAAAAGCTACGATGGTGAGGTATCCTGGAAGTCAAGTGAAAAAAACTGTATTGAGGAAGGATCTGTGTTATGAAGTGAGGACTGATAATTCTACACTTGATCTAACAGCATTATGGAGGTTACTGGTAGTCTTGACAAAACCAGTTTCATAGCCTGTTGAAAGAAAAATCTTGTATGGATTGGTTAAAGAAAAAGAATGAGTGAAAAGAATTGAAAATAATGAATGTATTAAAAATATATAACATTTTTTATGAGTTTAGCTTGTAAAGGGAAACAAAGAAGTGGATAGTAGGAAACAGGAAAAACAGGCTCAAGGGATTTTTTAAATTGAATAACACTGATGGGAAAATCCAGTACAGAGCCAGAAGTTGTTGATATGCATGAGAAAGAGGCTTGCTGGGTCCACAACCTCAGAGAGGTAAGAGGAAAGGAAACGCGGTGCAAAAGTAGAAAAAGAAATGTGAAGGACTGCATATGGTATGTCTATGGTAACTGAGGGCTAGCATGTCTGCACAGCATGAAGGTGTAAATGAGAGCAGGCAAGAAGCTGAGACCCTGGGTGATGTGAGTTTGCTGCGGATGGTTTTGATCTTCTCAGTGAAATGGGGTACAAGGTAGTGAGGTGAGAAGAACTGGTTTTGAGGAGAGACAAAACATAAATGAGTAATCTAGGGAGTGTGAATGTAAGAAATTGAATGGTTTTGAAATTAAAATGCTGAAAGAACTAAATACAGAATAAAGTTTTACAGTACTCTGAAATTACTTTCTGTTTAAGTATTTAAGTTTTTAAATTATATTTAAATAGTTCATTTATTTCTTCTTCATTTACATTCATTTAATACACAGAAAAGCAGAGACCCTGTAGTAATCGCCTTTGCATTCACATCAGTCAGCGGTGGAGGTAACATTTTTAAGTGTGACAACCTTAAACCGCTGTTGTCTATTTGACTGTCTTATTTAAATAAATAAAATTTACTCAGAATAAACATTTCTAAGAAAATAGCCTTTCAAATTAGAATAAATATTTCTAAGAAAACAGCCTTTAAAATTCCTTTTAAAATGCCATTGAGGGGCCTGTGGGTGGCAGAGTGCTTAATGTGCTAGACTTCCACATGGTCAACTGTGGTTTGAGTTCCAGACCTGGCAGCTTGAAACTCATGCCGGGAACATGTATGTGCATTCCCCAAATCTTGAGAGGAGAATGGAGGAGAAGGGAGTGCAGCATGGCCATCTCCCCCAGAGGATGATTTCTCATTTTCCTCTCGCTCTGTCTTTCCAGATAGCGTACGTGCCCTATAGCAAAAACCTTCCATTTAAAAAAAAAAAAAAGAAAAGAAAATGCCATTGAAACCATTCCATGAGTGGTAGGGGCAGTTATAGATAAATTTATATAGAAAACTAAATTTAAATCTGTATCATACACCTTTAATATATATTATATTCCAGAGTTTAATCCAAGTAAAGGATTAAAACTACATTATCTGGTTATATAGACTGGAGGAAATGCTCTTACTTTAGCCGCTAGAGTACACAGAAATAAATTTCAATGTAAGGGTTTATGAATAGGAATAATTAGGGCAGAAGAAAAGACAAATACTTTATTAGTGATATCCTATAATGGAAATGATAAAGATGGTATTACCTATATTCGATCTTAAGTACCAACGTCAAGTTAGAAAGTGATTGTCTTTATTTTAATACTTCAATAACTATTTATGAAGTATCTTACACTGTACTCCTTACTATGGAAATGAACAATTAGAATATTTTACATGTTAAATAAAATATGTTTACTGACTTTTTAAAGAGCTAGGAGGATTGAAAACATAAGGAACTTATAAATTTGATTTTTGATGTATCTCTATCTCTAAAGTACTTTTACTGACTTTTTAAAGAGCTAGGAGGATTGAAAACATAAGGAACTTATAAATTTGATTTTTGATGTATCTTTATCTCAAAAGGAAAAAACAATCCAATACACGTTTTTTTTTTTTTTTTTGGAGAGGTTATTGCTATAGGGCACGTGCGCTCGCCAGACAGAGAGAGACCGAGAGACAGAAAGTGAGAAATCACCCCCTAGGGGGATGGCCATGCCGCAATCCCTTCTCCTCCGTTCTCCTCTTGGGATCTTGGGCACGCATGCACACGTGCCCGGCATGAGTTTAAGCCACCGGGTCCAAGATTCAAACCGCGGTTGACTACATGGAAGTCTAGTGAAATAGCCATTATGCTAACTGTTGGTCCCAATCCAATACACTTTTAAATTAGCACTACTTGAGTATCAACGAATAGTTAAACACAAAAGTTAAACTAAATGATTTTAGTTTCTACAATCATCATTTTTTAATGATTAAGAACTGATTATTTAAAGTTATCCAAAATTTAATGCATCTAACCTTGTAATGCCTATATAGGCTACTTCTTGCTTTGTATAATTGTTGACAAGAGAAATTCCAACATCTTGTAATGACAATCCAATTTCTTGTTCAGCTAACTCTGCTTTCTCACTTTCATATGTTACTTTAAATACCCTTGGATCTTCAGTGAATAAAATAATGCGCTGTAAGCCTTCAAAGAATGAAACTAAATAAATAGTTTTTTTCCCCGATTCTATAGGTGTCATCATATCCTAAAACAAAACCATCAAAAAAAAAAAAATTAGAGTGTGCTCCCAGCCAACATGAAATCTAGATAAAGCCTTTATAAAATGAGAGTATCAATCATACCAACTTAATAGGCTTGGGGTTGCAAGCTAAATGAATATTTGTACAAAACTTGGAAACTTACATCATAGTAATCATTTGATATTAACTACTGTATAAGGCTAGTGGCAACAAAATTAATTAATATTCACATAATCTTCCTTTGACAACTGATCAATGACAGAAAGTAAGTCTGGAGTGATGTGGTCTGTGTTAAAAGTGTTTCAATCTACAATTCATATTTCCTTCCAAAGCTGAATCTATAAAATATACCTCATATATCTATAAAACGTGGATATTCACACCATAGAATTAATTCTGCAGGAAACCCTTACACGGCACTATACTGGTGTCACGGACTTGAGGTTCAAAGACAAAAAAATTATAACAAATTCTAATAATTAATAGCCAGCCATAAATTACTGATAAATATTCCAATTAACAGATAATTTCTAGATACAGTACATATTAATGTTACAACCAACAGAAATTAGAAATTGGAGTCATTACCATAAAATTATTGTCTACAGTTATGTTACTTCTAATACTTTCTAAAGTAAAATATACAATACTAAACTAAGAGAAATAAGAACATCTCTTTTCAAATAATTCTAAAGCCTTTCTAGTATCTTATGGCAAATTTCAGATTTAACTTTACAGATTATCACTGACATAAATGTGTAAAAGTACTAATTATCAGAGCAAATTAATAACATAATTTTTATATTAAAGTAATATTTTTTCCTGAATACATTTAATAAAAACTTTTTACTTCAAGTTAGGCCAATTATAAGCTGTATCCCTACATACAATTTTAGAAATTATGCATCCTGGATTCCTTGACAGAAGAAACACTGGAAGACAATGAAAAAATATCATCAATATGCTAAGAGAAAATAACTCTCAAATTCTACTGAAAATCCTTCTTCAACAAAAATATCCCTCAATGTAAAATGTACACAAAATAATAAAGATGTCCACAGACAAAAACTACTAAACTATCAACATAGACTCACTCAAAGATCTTCATAGAAAGAATTAACCAGTGGCAAAAAGAAAGTGATCCAAGATGTATGTTTTAAGTTAAAAAGAAACTTATACAATACAATGGCACTTATTTGGAAGAAAAGAAAACATTTTTATAGGCCAGCTGTGGAGGTGCAATGGCGACACAGTACTCTGCAATGCTGGGGTAACATGGGAAGGTCCCCAGTTTGCATCCCAATATCTCCCCAGTGAGTCTAAATGTTTGGGCCTAAGAAGATACAGTAAAGGGAACTGCAGTGTTATATACTGATAAAAGGATAGATCTACCAGGAAGAGATAACAATTCTAAATTTGTACCTACCTAATCACATAGCTTTAAAATTTAAAGAACTGAAATTAACAAAACAAAAAGGCAAAAAAGTATAAATCCATTATTATATTGGAAGATTTTTAACATACCTCTTATTGTAACTAATAAAGCAAGATACTGAGCAAACAAAAAAAATTTTTGAACAACACAATTTACAAACTTTAACAAACTGATCTAGAATATGAGGTAAAAACTACAGAATATGTATATGCAAATACGTAGGAAAAAAATGTACTAAAATTAACCAAATGCTGGCCCACAAATTCAATCTCAATAAATTTCAAAGGACTGAGTCAGACTATATTCTCAAAATCACAGTGGAAGTGAATTAGAAATTAAAAAAGGATAACCAGAAATTCCCAAATTTTTCAAAAGTAAGCCATAACCTAAATAAATATTAAAACAAATTATAAAAATTGGAATATTTTTAACTAAAGGGTAATAACTATACAACATACCCAAATTTGTAAGATTAAACTAACGCTGTTTTTGGAGGAGAATACATGCCTTTAAATGATTTCAAATAAGTGAAGAAAATCTGAAAGATGATGATTGTGATTCAGGTATTTGCTAGTGGATGTGTATTCCCCTAAAATTCTTATGTTGAAGCCTAAGTACTCAATGTGACTCCACAGTTGTCCTTTGGTATCCACAGAGAATCAGTTTCAGGACCCTTTCCCCAGCAAATACCACAGTCCACAGAGGTTCAAGTCCCTTATACAAAGCTGGGGTAGTATTCACATAAAACCTATGCACATCTTCCAGTATACTTTAAATAATTTCTAGAGTACTTATAATGCCTAGTACATATAAGTGCTATGTAAATAGTTGTTACACAATATTGTTTTCAAAATATGCATTATTGGGTTATCAAAAAGGTCATGACGCATTTTTTTCTATGCAAAAATGTACCGTGACTTTCCTGATAATCCAATATTTTTTTAAAGTGATATTGCTGTTTTATTTCTAAACATTTTTGATCTGCAATGGGTTGAATCTGTGGAGGTAGATCCAGAGGCCTGACTACATGTTTGGTGATGGTGCTAAAAGATTTAGATGATCAGTTTTTTGTTCTTAAAGAGAACTCAATAAGGGGGCAGCAAGTGGCGTGGTGGTTCAGGTGCTGAATTCCTGCATGACTAACTGTAGTTTGAGTCCTAGGCCTGGAAGCTTGAAAATCACTCCAAGAACATTTGTGTGTCTGCCCAAAATCCTGAGGGGAGAATAGAGAAAGGATTGCAGCATGGTGGTTATCCCCCAGGGGTGATTTCTCATTTTCTCTCCCTCTGTTTCTCTCTGGCAAATACATATACCTATGAAAATAACTTTAAATTTAAAAAAGGCAGCAAGACAATGGTATTTCTGGGTGGGGAGCAAGAGGAGTAAAGAAGTACAAAACAAAACAACTGATGAAACTGATAAGCCTTTAGCAAAAAAAAATTTTTTTTTAAAGAGGTTCTTCGCTATAGGGCATGTGCGCTCGCCAGACAGACAGACAGAGAGAGAGAGAAAGTACAAAACAAAACAACAACTAATGAAACTGATAAGCCTTTAGCAAAAAAAAAATTTTTTTTTAAGAGGTTCTTCGCTATAGGGCATGTGCGCTCGCCAGACAGACAGACAGAGAGAGAGAGAGACAGAAAGCGAGAAATCACCCCCCAGGGGGGATGGTCACGCCGCAATCCCTTCTCCTCCATTCTCCTTTCGGGATCTTGGGCACACACGCACACGCGCCCAGCGTGAGTTTTAAGCCACCGGGTCGAGACGCGAATCGCGGTTGACTACGTGGGAGTCCAGTGACATAGCCATTACGCTAACTGCTGGTTCCCAGCTTTTAGCAAAATTTATCAAGGAAAAAAAAGGAAAAAAGTATACAAAGGATGAAAAAGCATACAACCATAAATATCATAAAAAGATAGTTATTATAAATACGTTTAAGTCAACATATTAGAAAATTTAGATGAAATGAATATCTTCTTTAAAAAATACCAAAATGACACAATAGGAAACAGAAAGCTGACCTATATCTAATAAAATAGAGTCCATAATTTAAAAACTTCCTATAAAGACAATTGCAAGCTAAACATGGCTTGGCTTCATGAGAAAAACTTGTTAATACTAAATATTCAGAAGTCATATTTACCTTACATAAGTTCAAGAATAAAAGAAAATATTAAGTCTTTCCTAACATTTTAAAAAGTCACTGTAACCTTGATATCAAAATCCAGAAAAAAACATTTGAAATTGGGAAGTTATAAACCAATTTCTCACACAAATACACAAGCAAAAGACTTAAAATATTAGCAAACCAATTCCAGAAATGTGACATTGTCCTAATACTCCAAAACCAAACATAGAACTGATTCTCCAAATAAAAGAAAGTTCAAAAATCATATAACAATGTTCAACAGTTCAAAGCATTTGACACAAATTCAACACCCATTCATTTATATATAAATAAATATGCATACTCCTATTTTAACAAACTAGGAAAAGAAAGCAACTGATTTAATTTGATAGAGGTTATTTATTTTAAAATAAACAAAAGAAACAAAAATGCTTAGCATGAAGACAATGATGAAATGTTCAGTTTCTCCTTCATAATGGGAATGAGAGAACCACTGTTCTATTAATGGACACAAAGAACAATTAGCAGTATTTAAAAAAGACACTGGAAAAGGAGTTCAACTAAGATGAATTTTAAAAGATGAATTTATTTATTTATTTTGAGAGGTTTACTGGAAAAGGAGTTAAACTAAGATGAATTTATTTATTTATTTTGAGAGGTTTTTGCTATAGGGCATGTGCACTCGCCAGAAGACAGAGAGTAAGAAACCACCCCCCAGGAAAGATAGCTACGCCACAATCTCTTCTCCATTCTCCTCTCGGGATCTTGGGCATGTATGTACATGTGCCCGGCATGAGTTTAAGCCACTAGGTCAAGGACTTGAACCGCGGTCACCTATATGGGAGTCCAGTGACATAGCCATTATGCCAACTGCTGGTCCCCGATAAATAAAACTTTAATAAAACAATTCCTGAAATTTATTTTAAATGCTACTGGAAAATGTTTGTATATAACTTCATCATCATAGCTTAACCACCCACAATAAATTCTTTTTAGTTAACTCACTCTGTCCTTAAATATTTCTCACAGAAGCTAAATCTACCTAAAATGACCACCAATAAAGAAAACATATTTGTTAAAATAAGTTTATAAGGTAAATGCTAAAAGCACTCCTCAAAGTATAGCTTTATTCTTTGTAGCATATTAGAAGTACGCAATGATAAAGACAAAATGCTACTGCTACTGGGTTTTAACATTTTGAGTTAAGTTAAAGCTTGAATATTGCTTTTAAAATCTGGCAATCATTTACAAGTATAGCTACAGAACAATCCTTAAAACTTAGGAGGCCAGCAGATGGTGTGGTTTGAGGCTGTGGACTTCCCACATGGCAGACTGTGGGTTGAGTCCCAGACATTGGTAGCTTGCTTTCTCACTCTCCTCTCTTTCTCTGGCAAACTCATGTGAAAAAATAAGAATAATAAATAAATAAATAAATAAATAAATAAATAAATTCTTTGAAAAATTAAAACTTAGTGAGGCCAGAAGATGGCGTGGTGGTTATGTCACTAGATTCCCACATGGCCGACTGCAGTTCAAGTCCCAGACCCAGTGGCTTGAAACTCATGTCAGGTGCATGTTTGTATGATGAGCAAGATCCCAGGAGAATGGGAGAGAAGGGATTATAGCATGGCCATCCCCTTGGGGGGTGATATCTCACTTTCATTCTCACTGCCACCGTCTCTGTCTCTCTCCCGTGAGTGCATGCACCCTAAGGCAAAACCTCTTTTAAAAAATAAATAAATAAAACCTTAGGCTAAGAAAAAAAAACTTTAAAAAAGGAACTACAAAAGGCTGCTGAGAACAACATTAATAAGCAACCCAGTACTTACGTCCTTTTGTGTTACTTCGCCATGGCTTTTCCCACATCTCCACTTCAGCTTTCTGGAGCCCACTGGATCAGCCCATGTGTAAAACACTGCTTTTCCAGGAGGGAGGGAATCTTCTATGTCGCTGAGAGAACTGACATAAGAAGTAAAAAATATGCATCAGCTTAAATGTCAAGTACATGAAAAAATAAAAAATCTAAAATAAAACTTCATTCATAATAGACTAATGCTTAGTCCATTCATTGAGAGTTATGATAATTCTGATTAAGATTAGACTGAAGACCACATGGCCAACTCTGCAATTAAGAATCCTAAACCTGGAAGCTTGAAAAGCACACGAGGCATGTGTGTGTACATGCCCAAAATCCCAAGAGCAAAATGGAAGAGATTGAAATGTGGCTATCCTCCCTGGGGGTGATTTCTCACTTTCTGCACACCTCTCTCTCTCTCTCTCAATGAGCATGCCCTATAGCTAAAATTTTAGGGGGAAAAAAATAGAGTGCAATTAATTGGATGGTGACATAGGAAAAATTGGGATGACAGAAGTGTATAACACTCCATGCAATAAGAGAAGGATCACAAGGAGGAGATGATTGTGTGGTACAAATGATGAAAGCTTTGACTAACTTTAGGGTCTCGGTGACACTTAGAGGAGGTGGGGGTCTAAAACTCAAGAGAAGTCTATGCTGGAGTAGAAATGTGGGGATAACTCGCACACAGATAATAACTGAAGTAGTCACTGTCATGGATGTGATTATCAAAGACTTTACATAATGCGATTAGGAGTATCTCCCTGCAATATTTAAGAGTAGGCAGAAAAAGCGGCCTATGAAAGACGTAAAACAATATGTGGTCAGAAACAGCAGCAATGCTCCAGCGTAATTCTGGAGTTAATATTCCTTAAAACTAGTTTCAAGTTTATGATTCAACAAGCACTTCCTCAAACAATCCTAAATCCAAACCCAATGTTCATTCTTACAGATTATTAATTTTATAAATTTCCATTAAGAGTACCATTTTTTAAGTTTCAAAATTTATATAAGGATCACATTCTAGTATTTCTCTTATCCCTTACTATTAAGAGTTATAAATGCAGTAGATAATATTTCTAAATACTCTGTATTTGCTCTGCACTATAATGAATATAGCATGGTCATGGCCAAAGAAACGACGAAGATTTATAGGTCAGCCTCAGATATACACAAGGTATGACAATTAAGCCAGTCCTTAGTATGTAAAGAATTAACAGCTCTGACACATCTAGAATGTTACCAGCTATTCACCATCCTCGACAGAACTAAGGAAACAGTCACTCAGAGAATTTTCTATAGATCTTAATTTTGTGAATTCAGGATGTGAAAGGTGGCCTGAGGTACACAGGATGATGTACCCTTTCCACCTTCTTTCATCAGTTTCAACCAATTAATTTGCCATAGTCTGAATATGTACCTCCCACCTCCACAATTCATATGTGCAAACTTGACTGCCAACGTATTAAGAGATGAGGCACTTAGGAGGTGACTAGTGAGGTTAGTGCTCTTATAAACGATGCTGAAGGGAGCTGCTGTTCCTGTTGCCAAATCAGGATGCAGCAAGAGGCACCATCTATAAGGCAGAGATCAAGCCTTCACTAGGAACCTGCTGGTGCCGTGATTTGGGACTACCCAACCTCCATAAGGATAAGCAGAAAATTTCTGCTGTTTATAAATAGTTACCAAGTCTAAGGCGTTTTTGTTTTAGCAGCCCAACTACACTAAGATATAATTGATGATTTTTGTTACATATTGAACAATTAAAAACAGACTAACAGACTTTCTTAATTCTATACCATCTTAAACAAATGAGGGAATGAGTAGTCTAGGGACTTGCTAGTCGGCCCTGTGGCCCTTACTCAATGTCTGTTTGATTTTAATCAATGATTCTAAGTTGTACAGTAAGAGTAGAAGGAAAGTATAAAATATACTGACAAATCTGGGCCAAAGGTGAAAACAAAAAAAAGCAGAAAAAATAACTTCAAGACAACCTGGACAACTAAATACAGGAAAACAAAGTTGCATAAACTGTAGTGGCACTAGGACATGACACCACAGCAAAGTGAAACAAGTAATATTCAGAGTATCCTAAACCATCAGGATTTACTTATGATCATTGAGAAAGCAGTCCTCTCCCTATAGACCTCAATAAGAAAAGACCATCTATTGTTTGAACAAAGGAAAAAAAAAGTGAAATTATACATCATGCTTATTAAAAATTTCAAATATAGCCAAATTTAAGAATGATCAAGCTTTTGTCACACTGGCATCAACTCTTTTACTTGTTGGCTTTTGAAATATTTAAGAATAAGATGTATGTGGGGCTAGCAGGTGGCATGCTGGTCGGGGTACTGGATTCCCACATGCTGATCTCATTTCAAGTCCTGGACCTGGCGGCTTACCTTTTCACACACTCTCTCTTGTGAGTGCACATGCCCTATAGCAAATTCAATAATAATAAAGATATATGAAATTAAATAATTCTTTTTTATGTAAAAAAGGAAGAAAATGTATATCTCAAGTCAGTTTTACCCCCTAAATGTTTCTTTTTTTTCTTTTTAAATGGGACACTGGGGTCAGTCAGAGTCTGGGACTCAAACCTCATGGCTGGTCATGAAGGATCTAGCTGCTTTAACCACCACACCACTGGCTGACCCTGATGTCCCATTTAAAGAAAAAAAAAAGAAACATCTAGGGGATTAAACTGACTTGATATATAAATTTTATTCTTAAGTATTTCAAAAACCGACAAGTGAAACATATGAAGCCAGTGTGGCAAAAGCTTGTGAATGTACACTCAAAATCGCTGGAGAATGCAAGAGAGGGGATGCAGCATGCCCATCCCCCCAAAAGGTACTTTCTCACTTTCTCTCTCTCTCTTTCTTTCTGACAAATGCCTTGTCCCATAGGAAACTAATGAAAACAAAAAAAAAAACAAGCAAACAACAAAAACAAAAAGAATGGGATATCGCTTTACATACTTGCCATTATGCTATATTCTTATTACAGTATATGCTTATATTCTTAAGAAATCATCGTGAACTCAAAGTCCCAACACCAAACACTATGCTAAAGTAGGAGTCAGCATATGTGCAATAACCTCCTTACCTTTGTTTGTACTGAACAAGGTCGCTCTTGGTGTGATTTATTAACAGAAATGTAGCTGCTCCGTCATGATAATCTGAAAATGTAATAACTGTAGAATGCTCAGCCAAATGAACCTCTGCTATAATACCTCCAAGCTAAAAGAAAGGAAAAGGAAATTATTTAATGTGGTCATTGCCCCAATAATATTAACTACTAATATCTAATAATAAATTTATTTATAATATAATGAGTTAATTTGAGGAGAGAAAGTAGAAAACTCAAGGCTTTGTACTGCATTTGCATGATAGCATGAATCTCTACTTTAGTACGCAGATGAGTGAAGTTTTAGATGTGATATGTAGTTTAGTACTCCAGGCACTCTAATAAACTATTTGAGAAATTATTTTATGTCTCTTCTTCCTTTTGGTGCCTTTTTTTATTTTAACAAAAGAAATTTTTGTTTTTGGTGAAAGGGAAAACATATTATCAGAGGTGATATTGAAAAAGCTAATGTATACTTAGTAGTATTTTATTTTTTATAACACATGCAAAAAAACCCCCCACAAAAACCCAACGACAACAACAAAACCACTTACCTCATTATGCAGGCGCAATAAAATACAATTCTCTTGCTTGTTAAAATATATCCTTTTGGGAGGATCTTCACTCCCTTCAACTTGAACAAGAAGTTTACTAGAAGCATCCATAGGCCAAAAGGGAATACACTAAAATATATATTATGTATAATTACAATAAACATATTTCATCATAAATATTTCTATCATTTTAATAAACCTACAAGAAAAGACTCAAACTTAAAAAGATATATATTTTTCAACACTGCTCCAGTTATTAAGTTGCTTAGCTAAAGAGGTGTAAAATTTTCAAACTTAGAGGTGAGCTGTCATTTGTATGCACTATGAATACAAACAACCACTGGTAATAAATTGAAGATGCCTGATAAGTACAGTGCTGAGAAGAAGATTTTAATGCCATCTAGATATTACAGCAAAGGCTCAAAAATTCAAGAAGTAAGCAGAGCCCAGAATTGAGAAGTAAATTGATCAGTATAAAACAAGGGTATGCGGGCTAGCAGATGGCATAGCGGTTACATCGCTGGACTCCTACATGGCCAACCAAAATTTTAGTCCCAGACCCAGTGGCTTAAAAATCACATCAGGTGCATGTGTGGGCATTTCAAGATCCCAGAAGGAGACTAGATTACAACGTGATCATTCCTCTTAGGGGGTGGTTTTTCACTTTCTCTCTCATTGTCTCTCTTTTTCTGGAAGCCCTAAGGTAAAAACCTCTTCTTTTTTTTTTTTTTTAAATAAAAAAGAAGGAAAAAAAAAAAGCAAGGGTATTAGGTCAGCAGATGGCATGGTGGTTGACGTGCTGGACTCCAACATGGCTGACCACAGTTTGAGTTCCAGACCTGGCGGCTTGCTTTTGCTTTCTTGCTTGCGCTCTCTCTCTCTCTCTCTCTCTGGTGAGCACACCTGGCCTAAAGTAAATTAAGAAATAAAGATAATCATAATAAATAAAATCATATAAATAATTCTTTTTTAAAAAACAAGGGACAATTCAGTTACTAAAACTAAAAATCATGCTGTGGGCATTATTTGGTAATCAGGTAGAAGATGAAGCATACACCAATAACAAGTAAGGACAAATGCCAAATGTAGGATCCTCATCGTTATATGAGGATAAAAAAGGAAAAGCTGTACCCAAATTCAGAGTAGGAATGAAGCTCAGAAATGTTAAGAAACAATTTGGACACCATTGATCTAAAAATGAAACTTGAAGGACAGGAGACAGTCAAGGCTCTGGAAATAAGACCAGAAAACAGGAACTGGAAACTAATAGTTAAAAGAACAAGAATAAAGAACCATTCCTATCTGTAAACTATTTAGTCAACTTCGCCTTAGGCCCTGACCAGACTGATCACTTCTAATATTCAATGAGACTGTGAGATACTTGGTCATCTCCAAATGACCTGGGGACAATGGAGCAGAAGCTAGCTGTTAGTGCTGGTCAGAGGCAGTTTTATTCAACTCTAAAAGGTAACTAATGGAACAAGTTAAGGATGTAAGAGGCTTAGAATGTTCTCATTCAGAACTTCCTGTAGTCTAGCAGAATGAGTTGGGAGAGTCAAAATGGTAGCAATTGTATATACATAAATTTCTAATGAGGAACTGAGAGACTAAAAATGATGTATGTTGTAAACGTACCCAAGATCTGCTATTTCCTGAAAGCCCTGGTTTAATACTATGTCTTTTATGTTTAGTAATACACACTATGTCTTTTTTGTAAATTATATGCTGGGCCTCTTGAGATGTCAGAAAGTGTTACAGTACTTGTCTCTTATATTAGAAAAACAGAAATATGTTGATTGTTAAGTTGAACAAATCAACAGAGGTGATGAGAGCAAGTATGCATCTTGAGGTAAAATTTATTGTTATCGAAGTCAGCTGATGGCATTGCAGTTAAGACTCTGAAATCCCACATGGCTGACTGTGAGTTAGAGTTGCGAATTCAGCCAACTCTGTGGTTCAAGTCACAGGCCCAGCAGCTTAAAACAAAACAAAACAAAACAACCAACCGAACAAAAAAACACCAGGTGGATGTGCATATTGCTTAAAAGCCCAAGAGGAGAATGGTAGAGAAAGGACCACAATGTGGCCATTCCCCCTGGTGAGTGGCTTGAAAATCATGTCAGGTGCATGCATGTACCCAGAATCCTAAGATGAAAATGGAGGAGAAGGGATTTCAGCATAGCTATCCCTTTCCCCCGGGGGGATTTCTCACTTTCCCTCTCTCTGGCGAGCGTATATGTCCTATGGCAAAAACCTAAAAAAGATTTATCATTATAAGCCAATTAGAATGCAAAAATTTTAAGCTAGCAAAAGAAAATTTATCTTAAGTTGAAATAGGGAACAAAAAGAAACAAAGAGGTTAAAATATTAAAAATAGGTTGTTATGCATTTGTAATTGCAATTAATGCAAATATAAAACTGAAAAACAGAAGCTATACATTCAATTTTTTAAAAAATAAACAAGACTCAGCAATATCTACAAGAGACACATAAATCAAGACGTAGAAATGTTATGAATAGAAAAAAGATCTAGGAAATATAAGTTACAAAAAGAAAATGAAGGTTACAGTTGCAATCTCAGCATCTAGATATATATAGAGAGAAGGCCATACATCAACAAGCTAAGAACAGGGGCTTAGTGAGCACGTGTAGAACACATTAAAAAAATCAAATGCCCAATTGATAGTTATTGAGAACTGACTTTAATGACTGTTTGAAAACCTCATTCAAAGTAAAAGCTAACATCCTTGCAGTCATCTACAAAATTCTGCACCTTGCCCTTCATTATCACTAGGCTTTGTCCTTTACTACTTTTTTTGACTCCAGTAACATTGGTCTCTCTCTTTTTTTTTAAAGATTTATTTATTTATTTATTCATTCCTTCATTTTTTAATTTGACCAGAGAGACACAGAGAGAGAGAGAGAAGAAAGTGAGAAAGCAAGCCACCAGGTCCAGGATTTGAACTGTGATCAGACATGTGGGAGTGTCCAGCGCCTTAACCACCACGCCACCTGCTGGTCCCAACATTGGTCTCTTTTACTACTCCTCAAAAATGCCAAATACTCTCCCAATTTGGAGTTCCTATTCTGGTTGATCCTTTTGTTTCTAACCTTTCTTTCCACAGATATGCTCAGTGCTTAGAAGTCCAGCTCCTGGTCAAAAACATATATGCAATTTTTTCAGGTCAGACCATAGGCAACACACAGGCTTCTTCTGGCAGGCCTCCAGGGCAAAGTTGCTCTGTCTACACATGTGGTGCACAGCTAGGACACTGCGGTCTCAAACCTCTCCAATACTTCTCAAATGGCTGTATGAGTATCTGCATTGCTAGCCTGGATTGCACTCAGAGGTCTCTTTACCTTATGCACAGACCTTCCTCAGGAGCAACCACTAGACCGCCTGAGGGGAAGAGGAAAAACTTGGAAGACCTTTTTTTCCACTCTGATTCAGTGCTCAGTACTTTCCCACTCCTGGCACTTCCTCGTCCTTTTCTATCAGGTCCATGAAACTGTTGGAACCTTCTGATCAGGGAATCCCTCGACAGAGAGAGAACCTACACACCTATGCTGACGCACCTGACCCTTGACCAATGCCATTCCATTGGGAAGACGAAACAGGACATTCGGTGCTTTGTCCAGTTGTCTCAGATTATTTACAGTAGCACATAACTAAAGGTTTGGTTGTTACTTTCTGGCTTGTTCGCTCATTCAGCCGCCACGGCAGATCAGCTCTCCCTGGCGTCAATGAGACTTGACAACTGCTAACTCTCTCATTTCTTCCAAGACTCTATTCAAATGTGATCACACGAATCCTATCCTAATCACATGACATAAAACTATAGCCCACCCTTTGCTCTCTACAATGCTCAATGCCCTTTATCTTGCCTTATTTCCTTTTCCCATTAGATCTGTCACCTTTAAACATACTACATATTTTATTAATTGATCATGGTATTATGATCACACTCACTGAAATGTAAACTACACAGGACAGGAACTTGATGTTTTGTTAACGGATATGTTACGAGGCACATTTAAAAACATACAATAGATGGGATCAGCAGTTGGTATAATGTCTATGTTGCTGGACTCCCATGTAGTCGACCACAGTTCAAGTCCCGGACTCGGTGTCTTAAACTCATGCTTGGCACGCACACATCCCAAGAGGAGAACAGAGGAGAAGGGACTGTGGCATGGTCATCCCCCTGGGGGTGATTTCTAACTTTCTGTCTCTCTGTCTTTCTGGTGAGTGCACATGGAGAGGCAAAAACCTCTCCAAAAAATTAAAAAAAAAAAAAAAGATAATAGGGCCAGGAGGTGGCATGGAGGTTTATGTGCTGAACCCATATGGCCAACTCTGTGGTTCAAGTCCCAGGCCCAGCAACTTAAAAACAAACAAACAAACAAACAAAAAAAACACCAGGTGGATGTGCATGTGCGCTCAAAAGCCCAAGAGGAGAATGGTAGAGAAAGGACCACAATGTGGCCATTCCCCCGGTGAGTAATTTTTCACTTTTCCTCTCTCTGTCCCTTTCCAGCAAGCACACAAGCCCTAAAGCAAAACTTAAAACAAAACAAAACAAAAACATAATAAATATTTGTTGAAAGACTAAACAAACATGAAAAAAGATGGAACTTCAGAAAAAATACAATTATTCGAATATATAACTCAGTTTAAGGCTTAAGTAGCAGTTTAAGCGTACTTAAAAATAAAAAATCTTCAAAAGATACATATGTAGAACTTACCCAGAATTCAACAGAGAAAGCCAAACAGATGAAACGTATAAAAATGATATTAAGAGGTATGGGGAATGGGACATGAGTGTGGCAGGAAATCTGATTAAACGCATAGAAGAAGAACACGGAACAATGATGGAGAGGCCAAACACAGGCACTCTTTGTCGTACTGTGCTTCACTTACTACAGTTTGCTCATACTGCATTTCTTAATGTGTTGGTTTTTTGGTTCTTTTTTTTTTTTTTTGAGATTTTTCTGCTATAGGGTACATGTACTTGCCAGAGAATTAGCGAGACAGGAAGTAAGAAATCACCCCACAGGGGGAATGGCCATACCACAATCCTTTCTCCTCCATTCTCCTCTCAGGATTTTGGACACACAAGCACAACTGCACAGCGTGAGTTTTAAGCCACTGGGTCTAGGACTCAAACTATGGTCAACTGTGTGGGAATCCAGCAACGTAACCATTATGCCATCTACAGGTCCCCACTGACACTGTATTTTATAATAATTGAAAGATTTGTGGAAACCCTGTGTCAAGCAAATCTGCTGGCACCATTTTTCCAATTGCATGTGCTCACTCGATCTATGTGTCACATTTTGGTGATTCTTGCCATACTTCGAACTCAGAGGTTGGTTCACAAGATTTAAGAAAGGAAGGCATCTCCATAATATGAAAGAGCAAGATAAACAAGGGCTGATATGAAAGCTGCAAGAAGTTATCCAGAAAGCCTAGCTAAGAGCACTGAGGAAGGGGCACTAAACAGCAGGCTCAGTGCAGGCGAAGCAGCCAAGGACTTTTTTTTTTTTGGAGAGGTTTTTGTTACAGGGCATGTGTGCTCGCTAGACAGACAGAGAGAGACAGAGAGAAAGAAAGCGAGAAATCACCCCTCAGGGGGGATGGCCACGCCGCAATCCCTTCTCCTCCATTCTCCTCTAGGGATCTTGGGCATGCTCGCACACACGCCCGGCGTGAGTTTAAGCCGCCGGGTCCGAGACTTGAATCGCGGTCGACTACATGGGAGTCCAGAGACATAGCCATTACGCTAACTGCTGGTCCCTAGCCAAGGACTTTTGATAGAGAGCAGTCAATACTGGCTTCAAAGGACAGGCTCACTCTCTCATTAAGAGCTAATGCAGCTGGTGACTTTAAGTTGAAGCTAATGTTCATTTATCATTCTGAAAATCCTAGGGCCTTTAAGAATTATGTAAAACCTGCTCTTTCCTGTGCTGTATAAATGAAACAAAAAAGCCTGGATGACAGCACATGTGTCTATGGCATATTTACTAAACATTTTAAGCACACTGTTGAAACCTACTGCCCAGAAAAAAAGATTCCTTTCAAAATATGACTGCTCACTAACAATGCACCTGGCACAGCCAGACAGAAAAATCACTCCAAAGAGATGACAGAACCACAATGTAAGTGTCAACAAAAGGAAAGCCAGAAGAAAGTGGGAGAAAACCTACATGCTGAGAAAAAAAATTTAACCTAAAATATTTATCAAGGAACTTTAAAACTTTTTAAAGAAACCTGATAGGGCCAGCAAGTAGCATGTTTGTTAAGGCAGCTGGGTTCCATACGGCTGCCAGTGTAGTTCAGGCCTCAGACCCAGAGGCTTGAAAAACAACCCAGACGTGCGCATGCGTGCCCAGAATCCTTAAAGAGAGGGGAGAGAATTCTGGCATTCCCCCTTACTTTCTCTCTCTCTCTTCTGCAAACATATGTGCCCTATGGCAAAATTAAAAAGAGAGAGAGAGAGAGAAAGAAATATGATCAAAATGTTAATGGATAAACACAAACTGATAAAATTTAAAGACCAACTAACTCTAAAGTAAATTCTAAAAGATGTTTTTCAAAGAATGATCGCACAAGGACAGTTTTATATGCAAGAGAAATAATGAGTAAAAAACAGTAAACGCTCTTCTTATAATCCTAATGGAATAAAAGTCCTTTTTTTTTTTTTAAATTTGCTACAGGATGTGTGCACTCACCAGAGACAGAAAGACAGGGGAAAGTGAAGAAGCACCTCCCAACAGAGATGGTCACCACAATCCCTTTTCTTCCATTCTCTTTCTGGGATTTTGTGCACACATGCACACACACCTGCCATGCTTTTCAAGCAGCCATGTCCAGGACTCGAACTGTGTATTTGGATATATGGGATCCAGCCATCTTAACCATCATGCCTACTTTCTGGCCCTAGAATAAAAGTTCTTTAATAAAAGTAAATATTGTGGGGCCAGCAGGTAGTGTAGTGGTTCATGTACCACGTGGCAGATCATGGTTTGAGTCTCAGACCTGGTAATTTGCTTTCTCACTCTTTCTCTTTCCCATGCCCTACAATGAATTAAATAATAATAATAATAATAATAATAATGATAAATAAAATTAAATAATTCTTCTTTTGAAAAAGTAAATATTCAAAGGCCAGGAGGTGATGCAACTGGCATCAAACTTGACCCCACATATTAAAGTCCTGGGTTTACAATGCTGGGACCACCTTGAGGATGCAGGGTGTGTGGGCTGAGACTGGTGGATCACAGAATGGGGACCCTATTGGGGGTCCTTCCTCTCTCTCCCTCTTTCTTTCTCACTCACAGAAGAAATATTTTTTTAATTAAAATAGTCTATCAACCTCAGTTAATCATTCAGAAAACTCACATCCAGAGATCTAATAGCTTAATGCTGGCATAGAACCAAAATTTCACACATAGGCTGGTACTGCCTTTCTCAAGTATCTTGAAGGGTAGTCTGGCTTAATCTACTCTATGAAAGCATTCCTAACAGACTCCTAGAGAGAATAAATCACTTCCTTTTTGATGCATATATACTTTATCCAATCTTCTATTGCTGTATTTAACCAATGTGGTGAGTAAATATCTGTGCCTTTTATTGAGGTATGCATTCCCAAATGACAAGGCTCAATTTTTAATAATCAAAATACCTACGGCTTGGCACAAAGACTCAATAAATTTCAAGATAATTAAAACATGACATGGTGAGTTAGGTATTGAAAGTCAAGGAGCAAAAAGAATCCAGAAAGGTACATTTCTGAAATTCAGCTACCTACCTGATCCAACTCAAGAGAGAGCCATTTATCATTTCCCTCTTCAGCCACTGATACGTGGTATTTGCTCTTGTTTTTAATCATATAAAAAGGAGTAAAAGTCACAATTCTGGTAATGTTAAAACTGCTGAGATCTATAGTAACACCAACCTATGGAGAAAAAAGAGCTTCTATTAATTAATTAATTAATGGTAAAATGTAATTAAGTACTCAAAAGACATATTTTAAATAAAAAATTCTTGATAAGCATACAACTCACTTGATATTCCATGTTTGGGCCTTTACATTTAACAGCTCCATGACTACCAACAGTGTCGATTGAAAACTGGTCTGATAACTCACTGTCAGTCACCATAAGCTGAACCTAGGGAAAAAAAAAAAACAAACTCAAATATATTATAATTTAGGTACATTTAAAAATTCTTGCTTAATAATTTTTTTTTTTACTTTCTAACATAATTACCATATTATCAATGCACCAAACCATTCCCATTATTAAACTCTATTTTTTTTACCTAAAATATTTTTAAAATGTTATTTCTACCTAAGTTTCACAATTTATTTTTACATTCGTCAGGACTCGAAAAACTAAGGAAAAGTAAAAGAAAAAAATGCTACATACCTTATTGTTATTAAAAAAGTGATTTGGCTGGAAAGAAAAGAGAACTGGCTTTTTATAGTCAGGTGGATGCTTTCGATGAATTCCATCCGCTTTGTACTGTAACATGCGACCAGTTTTGTTCACCATCCAGTAAGGGCTATGAAATGCCACGACTGTCTGACCAGTATTGTAAGTTACATGGATAGCGATATCTAATTCAGTCTTTTCTATTTCTGTAACACATGTAAAACTGATGAAACTAATATCTTGTTGATTAGGTTTTATATGATATTCACTTTTCCAATCATGATTAAGGTAGTCCAGTAATTTTAAATGTAGCCTGGCTTTATCCAACTGCACAGTACAAATCTGGGCTGAATGTCCTTCGCTGAGAGTAAAAACTGAATTTTCAATTCCCTGTAATAAAAATAGATTTATTTTTTAATGTTTCAGAATAATATGCCCCCAAATTTGAGTTGATTATTTTAAATGCTACACAAAATATTTTTGAAATACCCATCAGAACAAGTTAGAGGACTTACATTCCAGTCCTAGCTCTAATATAAACTTTTATAAAACATTTCATCCAAAACTTGTTACTCCATTAGTAAAATGGTCTAAAAGGCTTATTTCAGAGGACTACTTGAGGATTACAAAGTTTAATGTAAAACTCCAGTGGAAATATAAGAGTATAATTTGTGAAACAACAGAAAAATATTGTCCACTAGTGCTTTTAGTTTAAATAATATTCCACAAAATGATAGAAAATAAAGGGGAAAATTAATGGTAATCCGAAGTAAGCAACCCCTACTACCTCCCATTCATGGTTTTTAACAATCCTTTATCACCTATTTCCAATCACTGTTTTTTGTTTTTGTTTTTTTCTTTTCTTGGAGAGGTTTTTGCTATAGAGCACTTGCGCTTGCCAGAAAGACAGAGAGACAGAAAGCGAGAAATCACCCCCCAGGGGGGATGGCCACCCTGCAATCCCTTCTCCTCCATTCTCCTCTCGGGATCCTGGGCACGCATGCACATGCG